GGCTTTTTTTCTTACAAACACACACATGTACTCGCATGTACACACGCATCCACTTAAACACACACACACACATCCACTCAAAGTCGAAGACACAGTGAAAAAGTGTGAAGAAGTTTGGTATCAATTGCTATGCCTTTGCCTTGAAATTGTTTTCTTTTTTTTTTTTTCATCAATAAAAAGGAAATGACAATGAAGAGTGAGCGGTTTCTGGTGATTTCATCCTTTGTCGTAAACTGGGTCAGGTCTCCACCTGGGAGGCTGGCAGGTGCTCTAGCATAGTTTGCTCGTCTTTCTGCTAGAACATGTGTCGTCCTCATCTCTCATCTCTTCGGGTGGTTGGCGGGTGCTCTGATGTGGTTTGTTCCTTCTTTCCTATCAAACATTTACAGTGGAACTCGGATTCAACATGGTCGCAGGGCCTGACCTAATATCTCGTTGAATCCGAGTGTTCGTTATAGCAAACACGAGGTTTTGTGTAGATAATTACAGGCACGGAACAAGTAATGTATAAAGAGAAGTCACAAGTACTGCCTGAAATGTCTGCATATTATGCTAGCTTCTGCGTTTGTCGCGTCCACGACCCGCGATTTTTGGCAAATTTTGGTCCGCGGATCACGGCCGCAATTTTTGCATTTTTCAAAAGGGGGGAAAAAAAACACCGCTCGAGAATACAAATGGAGAAACAAACCGCGGGGAATACAAATGGAGAAACAAACCGCAGGGAATACAAATGGAGAAACAAACCGCGGGGAATACAAATGGAGAAACAAACCGCGGGGAATACAAAGGGAAAAACAAACCGCGAAAACATACAAAAAACGCAAAAATAAAGAAACGGAACCTCATTAACTTTACTTTGCGAAAGAAAAACTAGAAAGTTGACTTTCACTTCCGCTTCACTTCTCTCTTACTTGACTCCATGTTGATTTGTTCTGTTCAAAGAACTTTCCTGTGAAGAATGAGTACATTACGTACTATTGATGTATTGCTGTTTCCCTTGAATTTGTCCCTCTTTATTGTGTTTTGATTTTCTTTGTTATTGTTCTGATGAGTTCTTGTTTCTGTTTTTGATGTTTATATAGCGTATGTCATTTCATTTGAGGTTGTTCCCTCCTTTCAAACTACAAATGTGTTATGTTAGAGCGTGTCTCCACCAATACCGAACACTGACACTGGCAGGCCCCTTGTGTGTCATTCCATCATTTACATGTAAGTAATATCCTGGACTTTAAAAAAAATTACATACGGTTAGGGTTAAACGGCAAATCTTCGGATAGATTAACACGCGTCTTTATTTGTTAATTTTGGTGGTTGTTTATGTGCTGTTCTACTTTTGATATCATTCTGTTGGGAAACCTTTATTTTTTGTGTTAACATCCTGTGAGGATACAAATGATATTCTGGTTGCTTAAGACAGAACACAAGAAATTCTGGTGCTCTAGATTAAGCTACCTCTATCAACATGCTATATAATATACGTCCTCACAGAGAGGTGAAAGCTGGAAAAATAATTTCAACTTTTTTGGCAACTTTTGCCATTTTTTGTGGCAACTTTGTGACAGAAAATGGCAACAAACACGGATGCTAGATCATGGGCTGTGCATAAACAGAAGACCGATTCCTTCAAATACACACGCCTGTGTCATCTCGATTGTTTACCAAAATGTTGTGTTGCTGTGTAGAGCCTAGCGTAGGGCAACTTTTGATTCCATAGACCAGCGCACAATTCATTACGCAGATCTGCGTCAAGACTTGTTTATCATTGTAATAATGATCAGTTGCTGAGGTGGAAAAAAGACTGCCTGTGACGCGTTTGTATCTGCGACGTTCAACGC